GTTCAGTCGGAACTGATATTCATTCAAAATATATATTGTTAAATCCGATATTCAAATTGGATCCGATTATACTAGATCCGACCGAGACTATACCCGGTAAGACTTGATGGATCCGAAAAATTCATTTTTTTTACAATTCTTAATTTTAATTTAAAATTACACATGTACCAAATACAATGTATATTAAAATTTATTTATTATATTAGAAAATATTATAATAAAATAATGAATACGTTAAACTCAAAAAATATTTTTAATATAATTATATTATTCAAAATTATTTTTTCATATGTATGGTTGATATATTATTATATTACCCTGATCATGACCCGGATCCAGACCTAATACTCAAATAATTGGACTTAACTTCAAATAAATAGGTCGGGCTCGGTCGGGTCTCGAGTTTACGCGAATCTATTGTCATCCTATAAAATTATTGATATATTTTCAATTTATATTAATAATGAATTAGAGGTTTAATTTGTCAAAAATAAATAAAATTCATAAGATGACAATTATGTCATTTAAAATATAAAAAATCCAAATCCACGAAATAAATATAAATCACACCATATTTTACCAACCAAACATAATACGAGATTTCAAATCTTAAATATAATAAATCACATCACATATAAATCCTACTGTAAAATCCCAATCCCACCAAAAAAATCCATGAACCAAACAGCCCCTTATCCATCGAAATTGTATCACTCTTATTTTTACTTTTTTTTTTGAAAATTTTATAATACTTTATTTTTAATAAAATATTTTGAATTTGTTCACATTTTATTTTTAAGTGATATAATTTTCATAAATATTATTCGATAAAATACAATAAATACAAATATTAATATAATATATATGATACTTTCTCCGTCCCGCAAGAAATAATATTTCTGCATTTTCTTGTCCATCCCAAAAAAGATAATTCATTTCACCATATTGTATATATTTTATTAATATATGATATTTAAAATATTTAAATACATATTTTATTAATATATAAAGATGATATAATTTTAACAGATAAAATAATAAAATAAAATTTTAAAATATTATTAAATATATAAATTTAATTTATATTTAATTAAATATATTAAATTAAGAAAAATCAAAAAAACAAATCTTACTGGTAAAGTATCAAATACATTTATAAATCATAATGAGGGTGACCCACGTACCATTTGCGAGCTGCCGAATTGAAATTTCAAACATATCTTTCACTTTGAACACGGGCGTGTTCAGCCCGTGTTAGTATAAATACAGTAATATGTTATTAAATTAAAACAACACGTCTGTATTATAATTAATACGGTTGTGTTTGTTCCACATCAATTGCCACATCAGTTTTCGTTATGACTATGTCAACAAATTCCGTTGAAATTTTAACGGTGGAATAAAAAATGATAAATTATTTTTTGTATGGGATTAACTTTGATAATTATTCTTAAATTAGACCAATAATAAAATTAAAAAAAAAAAATTGATTGAGACCAATATTGATTTTTGCTCATAATTAATATTTGATGATAAGACAGATAATGTATGTTACACATAGAAGCATGTATTGTGTAGCTATGTATTAAGTTATATTCTATAATTTGTTTATTGTCTTTAAATCATAATATATTGTACTACATAGAATGATATAGGGTGTGTTTGGCAATTAGATGATAGTTTTCAACTCTTAGTTGATTCAATTAGTTGGTTTTGACTTGCTGATTCAATTAGCGCTTTGTATTAAAATGTTTGGTAAAACAACTGTTTAACATTAGTTGTTTATATGACTATTAGGGACATTCATATGTTATTTTTTAAAATATTTTTTAATTTTGTTCATTTTGGTTAGAAATTTATTAGATTTTTGTTATTAATTATTGAAAATTATAAAATTTTTATTTTTATTTTTATTATTTAGATCTGAAAAAAAATTATTTTTACTAAAATATAATAATTTTTTATTGAAATTATGTAAAATATAAAATAATAAATCTTTTGTATATATTTTTTTATTATGTTAATTATTGTTTTAATATATAAATAAATTAATAACCTTTGTTTTTTCTATTTGATTTAGTTTTAAAAATTTATATATTTTACAAATAAAATAATTTATATATAATAATTAATAATAGTAATTATTTTAAATTTAAAAATATATATATAATTTAATATATTAAATATATTAAAAATAATTAATAAATATTGTTATAAAAATATATTTATATGTATAAAATAAAAAATTAAATTTTAAGGGTAAATAAGGAATAACCAAAATTAAAATGAAAAAGCTCTTTCAAAACGCTGCGTAGATAAGCTTTTCAGAAATTAGTTACTCCTTCAAAAAATTAATTTACCAAATACCTAAATTAGCTTTCTTACTTGGTCAAACAACTAAAATTGTTGAATAAGCCAAAGCTCTTAAAAAAAACTGTTTCCCAAACACCTTCATAGCATTTTGTTAAAATATATTTTATTTATTGTATTAACATATATTCTGAGTTATATTATTTATTATGTTCAAATTACAATATATTTACTACATAAAATTATATAAATAATTTTTAGCTGTTTAAGCTGTCAAATTCATATTTAAATATTTACCAGAATAGCTATAGTGATTCTCACATTGTAAAAATATATATATAATTTTACTATTTGATAAATTTTTCTTTCTAAATAACTTTAAGAGTGAAAATAATAATAATAATAATAATTTTAGAAAAGCTGCCGCTTTTCATAATAGCATATTCATCATAATTTATTCATTTTTCCTATTTTATCCTTTTTGCTGAATTACTTTTGTACTTATTTTAAAATATCTATTTTTACTTAAATTATTATTTAAATTTTATTAATTTAAACCATTGAAATTATTAATTCTTCTGTATAAAAAATATTTTATTTTTAAATATATAAATTTATTAAATTTTAGGAATATATACTCCCTCCGTTCCGCAAAAAAGTTGTCATGGTCTTTTTGCATGTTGATTTTTTAATATTAATTATTATATCAATACGCATTAGAAATCGAGAGAAAATGACAAAAATATATTTATTAATCTCTTATAATACAAATACAATGATATTTGTTGAGTAAATTATTCAAATATAAATGTATTTTTTTATAGTAAGTACAATGACGCAAAAATCAAATAACAATTTTCTTGTGGGACGGAGGGAGTATATAAATTCTATTAAACTATATATATTTTTATCATAAAAATTTTATATTAAAAGTAAATAAAATATATATAACTATTTCAAATTATAAATTTTGTAAAATGATAAATTAATCAATATTAAACATAATATATATGTATAATGATTCTAAAAATAAAAATAAAAATACTTATTTTTCTTGCAAATATAATATTAAAATATTGTTTAAAAGATTAAGCACTCAATTTCAAACCAAAAAAAAAAACAAACAAAATGTCTTTTCATTTTATATATAACGAACACTTTAATATAAATAGCTAATACAACATGATAGTCAAACTAGCTAATAGAATCAACTAACATCAATAAACTAAAAAAGTTAATAGCTAACGGCTAATTGTTGAACACATCCATAATATCAAAATATGCGTTATACTTCTTCCATTCCAAAAGAGTTGTCTTATTTTTTCCAATTTCGTCTGTTCCAAAACAATTGTCTTATTTTCTTATTTAGTAACCGTGGTCTCTACTTTAAAACAAAATTATTCTTACTTTTTCAAAGTATCACTAATTATTACTTTAAGTTACTTTTTAAAATCTTTAAAAAAGTAAAGACATTCTAGTATTTTATTTTCTACTTTTTATCTATTTTTAATTAAATACTACTCCATCCGTCCAACTAGAAAGTATATATATTTCTATTTTGGAACGTCCAATTATAAAATAAATATTTTATTAAATACTTCATTTTTTCTACAAATACCCTTACTTTACATCACATTGTTACTTTTACACCAAAAAGTAAAGCTAAAAATGATAATACACTACTTTTAACTACTAATTATAATTAAAATACTACTATTTTTTAAATACTGCGCCAAAAATAAATTTTTACTTTCTATATGATTGGGGGAAGTACTATTTCTTAATTATCGTGGCAACTCGAGGGAATAAGTATATTTTATTAACATATGATGACTAAATTTATTTAAAACATATGTTTTTTTTTATTTTATAAACATACATTGATTGAATTACATATACGCAGCCTTAATTTGACTCAATCAATACAGTAACCAAAACTCTAATTTCAAGATATTAGTGAGGAAATTGTTAGTGTTTAAATATATTTGAAATAAAGATTTTATGAATTTAACTAGGTATTAAATTTTCACCATAATCATATTATTAATTTAAATTTTATGCTTTATAAATGACTAATAATTTTCGTCAACTAATTATCCAGCAATTCGAATTCATCATCCAACATGCATCGAATATATAAAAAAGAAAAACTGTAATAATAATAATAATAATAATAATAATAATAATAATAATAATAATAATAATAATAATAAGCAATCAATAATAATAATAATAATAATAATAATAATAATAATAAGCAATCAATCTAAGAGGAGGTTTAGATTGTGAGTTGGGATTTGAATAGTAAAAAATTTGAATTGAAATAATTGTATAACGTGATATAAATGAATATTGATGTGATATTTTAAAAAATTAATTTTTAGTATAATATAAAAAATAAAAAATAAATATTTGATTTGATTTTTTGAAAGGAAAAATTAAGTGAATAGTTAAAATCTTTACCAATCCTCCAAACAAACACACATCATACCTTGGGAAATGATTTTGTAACAAATATCCATAATTATTGCGATTTTTTCTAGTAATAGTGAATTATATACAGTGACACACTGAGAGTAAGGATAACTCTAATCAGCACATAGTAAATCAAGTAGTAAAGAATTCTCATCTAGAGGCTATAATTTGGATCTGACAATACAAAATACTAATCAATATAAAACATGTGCCGATTAAATTTCAATCATAACACTGAAAAATAATTGCTTATATACCAAGAATTGTATTGTATGCATATGAATTAATTAACCTTGTTTGACAATAGCACCAAGTTTTTTATTTTACCCACACATGGACACAGTTACGCTGCCAAAGAGATGACTCAACCATTTGAACTAAACATTTTCAACATTTTCAACGGCAACAGCGCCGAGTTGAACATTCCTAGAGATGGCGCAACTGACGGAATCATCCAAAACCGTTTCCCAGCCATGTGCGTATTTGAAGCCCTCATCGAGAAGCAGAGTAGATCCCCACTTAGTTCCATACTCACGGCCCCCTTCCAAATGCCTTCAATTCAATTCATTCATTCATTAGCATTTGAATTAGCATTTGAATTTGAATTTGAATTCATAAGGCTAACAACTTACCCGTTCCTCACGTTGAATTCAGGATACTTGTTGTGGTAGTATTTAGCAATCTCCGTAATTGAGATGTAACCGTTGGCGCACAAAAATCGACCTTTCATGGAAGCCTGGTTCAAGCAGAAGATGTGGGCATTGACCACATCCTCAATGTGGACTATGGGGATCTTCGCGAGCAGCTCTTCCATGAACTTGAGGAAGGTGATAAACACTTCATCGTTGGTGAGTTGCGCCAATAGCGTGTTCATGCTTCCCGACAAATGTGGTTGAAGCGTATCTCCATCCCCGCCTACGAGACCACAGGCAAGCGTTACCACCTCCATGCCGCTGTCGCCCAAGCTGCCCAGGAGCTCCTTTTCCGCCAATGTTTTTGCCATAGTGTAATCCTATATATATATATATATATATATTGATTAAAGTTAATGATCGAATAACAAATAAAAAACGTAAACAATATATAAATTTACGTAGTTCACCAACAACATGTTGGCTACGTTCACAAGAAGAAACAAAAAACAAATTTATTGAGGATGAAAATGTTACATATGTATTTCTATTTATCTCTAAGTCTATTCAAATAAACTAAGGGTGTGTTTGTTTGAGAGTTTGAATTTTGAGTTGAAATTTAAGTAATAATAGTTGTATAATGTGATATAAATAGACGTTGATATGATATTTTGAATATAAAATTAATTTTTAATATAATATAAAAAGTAAAAAATAGATGTTTAATTTAATATTTTCAAAAAAAAATAAATTAATGAATAATAAAATTTTGGCAAAATCCTACAAACAAAGACAACCTAAGAGAATACATTAGATACTCAACCCAATGCAAACTCAAAAGTCCAATAATACATACAGCGAGGCCAGGGGCCACTCTGCACCCGGGCAAGAGGGACTTCGCCCCATTCACCCAATTCACCCAATTCGATCAGAGACAAACTAGATTTAAGGCATATCAAACATATATATATATTGAAATTATCACAGAAAGAAATGAAATGAAATGAAATGTAAAATTAATTGTTACCCACCAGAGTAAATTCCATTCCATGGGGAATGGAGTGCAGAATGTTGTTAGCAGTTGGTGTCCAACAGCTTTCATCCATTACATCCTTGAACTCGTGACTCCCGTCGTCCTTGGACCGAATCGGTGAAGCAGCCATTACCGAGGCCGTGTAGATGAGTCGTCTCACCGTTCCGGACCTGATGCAAGCCTTTGCGATGCTACGAACAGCATCGACCGTAGCATCCACTCTGTTCTTGTGCTGTTTCCAATTGTTCGTAAATTAATTAATGAATTATAATGTGTTCTTTTTTAATTATTATTTTATTTTTATTAAATAGGAGTTTGATTGTAATAATATATAAGAAAATAAATATATTTTTACAAAAATAACAATAGTTATATATCAAAAATTAAAATTAAATTGTAAAAGAATATAGGTTTGTATGGTCATTTGTCAAATATACAAACAGCTTCAACTTCTTATCTTTTTATTTACTATTTTCGTTTGTCTTACATAATTATATATTTTAATACCATTTTTAAATTTATAATTATTTTTACTATACATTTGGAGTACACAAATAAGGCCACAAATAGAGTGTTGAGCTAATGTGTGCCATTACTCCTCATCTGCATATAAGTATAAATAGATACCAACGAGCCGGATTGATCTCAATATAAAGTTACATTAACTCAGTGTTTTTTACATTCCCATTAAATAGTTTTATTTTTTTTATTAGGTGGGAATTTTCGCTATCCGAAAGTACGTACCGAATAAATTTTCGGATGAACCAAATACTCTATAAATAAAGTCCGATAAAGACAAATTACACTAGAACGTCAGAGTTTAAACTCATAAACTCAAAATCACAAAATTACTCACACAACTAAATAGTTTTATTTGAGTCTACCTAATTACTAATTACTAATTTATTTTTATTTTTATTTACTCAAATGTCACCTCGCACTTCACTTTTAATTCCACAAGTTCTATTTGTCCAAAGCCCATTAAAGCTCAGTAGTCAGCAATACATATTAACAATTTAATCAAACTGTATCTACATAGGTACCGGTACGTACCTTCTGACCTTGAGTGTGGAGCAGTGGCGTGGCAACGTGGAACACGAAGTTGCAGCCCTGAATGGCGGCCTCGAATTCCTCTGCCCGGTACACGTCAGCCTTGAATAGCTTCAGCCTTGTCTCTGCCCCCTCAAACCTCTTTAACATCTCAACCTTCCACTCATCATCTACCATATACTTAGATCAATCCAAAATTAGCCTTTCTGCCACCCAATTTATATATGTATAAAATCAAGAAAAGACAATATCATGAATATTTATTAACTTAAATATGATATAGATAAGAGTACCCAAATTCCTTAGGGTTGCATGAACGGTAAAGCCTTGGCTCAAAAGCTTCTTCACCAGAGAAGAAGCTATGTAACCGCCGCCTCCCGTCACGCAAACTTTGCTACCGCTACAGTACTTCTCACTCATCTCTCTCTATTTCTATTACACTTGTTGATGGACACACAGATAGATAGATAAATAGATAGATAGCTAAATATGAAAGATGGGTGTTTATGTGTGTTTGTTTGCGGACTTGGATTTTGAGTAGATTTAAATAGTAAAATTTTTAACTTTTGATTATTGTATAATGTGATATAAAATTAATTTTTTAGTATAATATAATAAATAAAAATAAATATTTAATTTGATATTTTTTAAAGAAAAAAAAATAAGAAGAATAATGTATTTAAAATCAATCTCCAAATAAACATTAATTAAAAAGATGAGGCTGATGTTTTTCATTTTTTAATATATTTCCTCCTTTATTATTTAAAAGTATCTTTACGAGATTTTGTACTCTATCCTCCCCGGTCGAAAGGACTTTTGGGGTTCTTTCACAGTAGATTATTTTTATCAATCAACACTATTTTAACAGTTAGCGAAAGTTTCTTTTTTTCTTTTTTTCTTTTTTTTTTTTATTTATGTAAAAAATAATTATATGTGTAATTGTACATTTTAATTCAGATAAAAATTAAAAGTAATTTAATATTGATTTATAATTACTTTGATTAAAATAGAAAATAGATAATCTTGAATAGGATAGACAAAAAAAATGGTAAAAATGATATTTCCTTTGTCCATTAAAATTATTCTATTTGTGTTCGGCACGACAATTAAGAAAAATAAATATCTTATTGAAAAAATGATAGATAGTTGAGAATATTTTTTGAAAATTTAATTAAAAAATAAATTAACAAAGAAAGAGTATTTGTTATAAATAAGTGTTGAATGAAAATTAATAATTAAATATTGATTGGCTAACTTTGCCAAAATTAGTAGTTCAATAAATTTAGTAGACAAACTAAAAAGAAAAGTGAAAATAAACTTGACGGACGGAGGAAGTATTTGATATTTTGGTTATTTGACTTTATATATAAAACAATTATATATCTAATATCCCCTTTAGTCCCAACACAATACAGCCGTTTGGGATAGACACAATAATTAAAGAATAATAGTAGTACTCTCTTCGTCTTATAACAAAATATTCATTTTTTCATTTTAGTCTGTCTCGTAACAAAGTATTTATTTCCTTTTTTAGTAACTGTATTATCTATCTAATATTACAAATATCCTTACAACTTACAATATATTATACAAATGTCATTACCTTTATATCACACCATACTAATAAGGTTATTTTAGTCATTTCTACTTTATTTCTACTACATCCAAATATAATACTAATATTCTTAAAACTACATAAAAAAAATAAATGAATATTTAGTTATAAAACGGATGGTTTATTATATTAATAGTCGACTGGAAAAGTATGGTGGATTTATTTAGGTATTTTATTTAATTTCAAATTTACTATTTATTCAATTTTTTAAAAAAAAAATATTAAGGCAAAATTGTCCATAATTCCCTTGTGGTTTCGAAACTCAGCGTAAATTCCTCTTCTATTTAAAAAATTGCATGACGTCCCCTTATATTTTAATAAAAGTTACATGAAACCACTTTGTGATTTCGAAACTCCACATAAATCCCCATTTTATTTTAAAAAATTGCATGACGCTCACTTGTACTTTAAAAAATATTGCATAAAACTCCATTACCATGCAAAACATATAGATAAGAAATCATCTTCTTATCACACGAGGAAAGTTTCATGGTTTTGTGCAACATTTTTTAAAGTATAAAGAAGTACTATACAATTTTTAAATACAAAAAAATTTTACGCTGAATTTCAAAATCACATGGAAGTTATAAACAATTTTACCAAATATTAAATAAACAATATTTATTTTTATATTATATTAAAATTAATAATTATTTATATTACATTATATAATTATTTTAATTTAAAAATTTTTATTATTTAAATTTCAATTCAAAATTCAAATTAAAAAACAAACACACCCAAATAAATCAATTGCACTGAGAGCACTCGCTGTCAGGGCACATGCACGCCCCCATTATTTTAGCCTAATTATGTCAGAGTCAGACGGTCGTATCCACGTCGGCACGTCGCTGTCTTGCATTTATTGTTGCCCGTTTATGCTTTCAAATTATACACAAATATATATTCCATTAGTCACAACTACTACTGTTTTATAATTTGTCTGACTATTCAAAATTATTTATTTTTTATTTTAATAAAATTAATTATACAATAATAAAAAAATATATTTAATTTTTATTTAAATTATAAATTTATTATTGAATTCATTCTAAAATAATAGTATATTTTAATATTTTTGTCTTTCACAAAATAATAATTTTATTTTTATTTTAATAACTATCTCCACGTCTTCTTATAAAATTATTGAACATTTTATAGGCACAACCACAACGGAAGTACATGGCCCTCCCCCAATTTTTTAAATTTAAAATAAATAAAATTTATATAAATATACTGTTTGTTTGGAGATTTGGATTTTGAGTTAGAATTTGAATAGTAAAAATTTTGAATTTGAATAGTTGTATGATGTGATATAAATAGGTGGTGATGTGATGTTTTAAAGTAAAATTGATTTTTAGTATAATATAAAAAATAAAAAATAGGAGTTTAATTTGATGTTTTTAGGAAAAATTTTTTGGATGAATAGTAAAATTTGGATGAAATCCTACAAACGAACACACCCATTTGCCTCCGAAATATTTAAATTTATTATTTTATCTTTTTCAAAATTTAAGTTTATTGTATATTTTGTTATTATTTTTTAAATTTTAATTTATGTTAAGATAATATTTTAATTATATTTTATTTAAATAAAAAATATTAATTTTTTATACTAAATATTATTAAAGTTTCTCTTTATATTATATTGAAAAAAAATAAATTTAAAGTGTTCATTAGAAAAATAAAATTTTTAATCATTTATTTGAAAAAAAAAATCGATGATTTACAATTTAAAATATATTAAAATCGAATAAAAATTGAAAATCTACTGGACGACTCTATCCCCTTAACCTCCGTCATTAATTACTCTACCCCACTACTTTGTTCTAGTACTTGTTTTAATTTTAAAAACAGTTTATAATATTGATAATATTTTATTTTTTTATTCTTATGTTTCATTTAGAGTGTTTTTCTAAATTATACTTGTTCGATCTTAATTTATAAACTATTTTTATTTTTATTGATCTCATATAATTTGTTTCTTTAAAAAATATAATTATACATTTTAATTATATTTTACAATTCATAATTTATAATTTTTTTTATTAAATTATTTAATAATTTTAATTTTAATTTATATAATTTTTATTAAATTATATTTATTTTTTTAATATATTTTTTAATTATTTATTAATTATTCAATATATAAAATTCTATGTCTAAATTAAAAGGAACAATTTAACTATATATTCCTTCCGTCTGTTAAGTAGCATTATTATTATTATTATTATTATTATTATTATTATGTATTTTTTTTTAAAAAAAAAGAAGATAAAACTAAAATTTTCGGATACGTAGAAAATTAAATATAAAAAATAATAATAAAAAATTTAAAATACAAAAGGAAAAAAAAAAAAAGAAAAAAAAAAGAAAAAGGGTTGGGAATTGTAGGTATTAATTATGATTAAGATGGCTTGTGTCATCAGCGAAAATGTCAAACCAAATAATGTAATCTTATCGGTTCATGTGGGATGCGTGTGTTGACATCGATAGTCTTCTAATTCGAGGAAGCGCTGTAGACTATAACCTCTGTCTGCGTGTCATAAGTGGAGTGGACAAAAAAACAATATTTGGTTGTATTTTTCTTGTGGAATTTTTTACAAAAAATACTCAATATTTATTTATTTATTTTAAATATTAAATAAATATTTTTAAATTTTTATATTATTTTAAAAAATAATTTTATATTCAAAATATTAAATCTAACATTTTGTTATATCACGGCAAAAAGATTATTAAATTCAAATATTTATTATTAAAAAATATAAATTTTTTAATTCAAATCAACAAACAAGCAATTGCTTATGCAAATACTTGTTTCGTCTCCGTTCAAATTATTTTTTTATCATTTTTTATATCTCATTTTAAAGAATTATTTTTCAATTTAGAAAAAAATAATCATACACTAATATCAAAATACTCTTAACTGTTATTTACAATTACTTTATAGAAAAAATCAAAGGGTAAAAATGTCAATTTTTTTTACACTTCTAGAGGGTGTTTGGCAAATACTTTTTTTAAGAACTTTTAACTTATAGAATAGCTTTTAGTTGACCAGTCAAAAAGCTAATTTAGGTGTTTGGTAAATTAGCTTTTTGAAATAGTTTTTTGGACCAAAAAAAACTAATTTTTGAAAAGCTAACTTACCCAACGTTTTGAAATAGCTTTTTTTTAAAAAAAATTTTATTCCTTATATGCTCTTAAAAATTTATTATACATTTTACACAAATAAATATATTTTGATAATTTATTAATTATATTAGAACATTTTATTATATTATAGTTTTACTTTAATAAATTTAAAATAATTAATTTTTATATAAAAATTATTTTAATTGTAAAATATATAATTTTATTAAAATCAACATAAAATAAAAAATATAAATATTAATAATGTATTTTTTTATTAAAATTACATTATATAAATTTTATACTAAAAATAAATTAAATAAATTAAATTTATTGAAAATTATAAATATAATGAACTAATCGATAACTTACATAATAAATATATACACGAAAAATTTATTATTTTATATTTTACATCATTTTCAATAAAAAACTATTTATATATTTTAATAAAAATATATTATTTTTTAAATCTAACTGTAATAAAAATAAATACTTTTATAATACTTTTACAATTTTCAATAACTAATAACAAAAAATTTTAAACATTCTAAACTCAAAAAAACATAATTGAATATATTAGAAATAAGAATAAAATATAAATATCTTCAATTGTCATTTTACGTATAAACAGTTAATATCAAACAATTATTTTACCAAACATTTTAATACAAACAGCTAATCGAATCAGCTAGTCAAACCAGCTAATTGAATCAGCCAACAGCTATCAGCTAATTGAATCAGCTAATTGTCAAACACGCCCT